GAAGCGAGAAAAAGATTCTCCTCTAGAGACTTCAGAAAGGAATGCAGCCTTGTTGACACCTTGATTTCAGTCCAGTGAGACTTATGCCAAGCTCTTGACCTCCAGAACTGTAATACAATAAATCTGTGTCGTTTGACGCCACTAAATCTGTGGTAATTTATTACAGCAGCCACAGAAAACTAATACACACAGGCTCAACCCATTTCCCTCACCGAATCGAATGGACAACTGGCACCGCTGAGCGCCCAAGCTGCCAGCAGCAAAGACCAAGAGTTTCCCATGTGGCACCATTCCCTGGGGCAATGGTTCTCAAACTGTAAACGAGGAACCCCTGGGGGTCCCCCAAATTCTTCCAGGAGTTCTGTGAGGTAAAATCTATTTTCATATTAATACTAAGGCATTCTTTGCTTATTTCATTGTCATTGTTTCATGAGTGTATGGTGGAATTTTCTAGAGGCCTGACATATGTACAACACACTAAATGCTGAAGATTTGAGAAGCTAGCTGTCTTGTATTAAGCCCAATCTCTTTAGAAATTTGTAAAAATGTTAAGTAATGCTGCTCTCCTCACAGTTTTTGTTTTGAAAAAGTTTTCATTCAAAATTTTATATTAACGTACTAGATTTATTCATTTTAAATGAGTATTTTAAAGCTTAATTTTTAATCCAGGAAAATAAATATACCCCCCCCACAAGAATCCCTTAATTTTTAAGAGTATAATTTTTCAGTAATTTTTAAGAATGTAAAGGATTTCTGAGACCAAACCTTTGAGAACTACTGTTCTAGGGTTACCGGCTAGCTAGCTTCCCATTGGCAGGTTGATTACGCCAACTCCTTCTTTCGTGAAGGGAACAGTTATCAGCTCACGGTAATAAATATGTATTTGTGGTACCGACTTGCCTTCCCTGCCTGCAAGGATTCCGCCAGCACCATCATCTCTGGACTTTCCAGAATGCCTTACTCATCACTAGGCCATGTCACACATTGCCTAACTTCATTTTACGGTGAGGGGCAAACAGCAGTGGTCTTAATGCACTGTACTTACAACGTACCCTGTCACTCATAAATAGCTGAATGGATAGAATAGTGTTAAAGCACCAGTTGGGAGGTACTCTGCAAGGTTAGGTTGACAAGTAGAAAGCAGTGTGTGCTCTAAATCAGCAGCCAATATCCGGCTCCACCTCTCACAGCCAGAAGGCAGAAGGAGGTAGGTAGCAATGGGAGTGGCTCCTCTCAATATTATTCCAAATAACCCACTGGAGGAATTTTTGCTTTCCATCCCCTCAACTTTGTGTTCGGTGGGTCTACAGTCCTTAGTGCCCAAAGGAGGACTACTTCCTCCAGGGAACACATAAATGGTTCCTTTAGATTGGAAGTAGAGTTTTCCCTTGGCTCAATTGGAGCTCTGTATGTTATCTAATCAAAAGGCAGAGAGGGGACCAACTGTACCAGACAGTGTGATTGATCTAGGTTACCAGAAGGAAAATGGGGGATGGGCAGGAAGGCTATGTTTGGAATCCAGAGTACTGGGTGCCTCTTGGATCTCCCATGTCCAATAACGACCGTCAACGGGAAACTTGGCAACCCTTCAAACCTAAGACCAAGAAGAACCTGAACTGTATGGCTCTTACCCACCAGGTAAAGAACCAAACCAGCTAGAGAGCTAGCAGCTGGTAAGAGGGACAAAGAAGGGGGTGGAAGAGGGTTGCCATTGAGTGCAAAATTACGCCTTGTGACCAGCGAGCGGCAGAAGGGGCTGCTGTAGTGGGTTTCTGGGTTTCTGTTGTTGGTTTTCTGCACCCACCCCCCATCCCATCTTACTGGAAGAGCCCTGGTGATGGGTGACGTTTTAAGTTAAAGGGTATGACCAGAGGATAACAAGAGTATGGTTAAGTATGAGAAGGAGGTGGTGGTTGATGAGACTGTGTTTCTCCTATTGAAGATGAGCTTTCCTTCCATTTTTAGAAAATTGAGGTGAAGTTTACATGAAATGAGCCATTTTAAAGTAAATGATCAGTGGCACTTTGTACCTTCACAGTACATGCAAGGTAGCAACCAGCATCATAATCTATTTCCAAAACTTGCCATCACCCCAAACAGAAATTATGTAATCATTAAGCAACAGAGACATGAGTTTTTCATCTGAAGGATCAGTGGATGGTGGGGGCAAAAGGCATGGCTGTTTGGATGTCCTGTCCCCTAAATCCACTCTCTCCTTGCTCCCTTTACTGCAAGGCTGACCCTTGTGGACTGAACTCTGTGAAGTTACTCAGGTGCCTTCCCTTCTGGCTCCCTAATGGATTTGGCTAAGGGGAGGCACCAGCAGGATCAAAAGCAGAATATTTATCCCCTGCTTCCCCGTCTGGCAGGGGCTTTGCTCTGCTCCCTATGGCTGTGGCTCCAGCAGGGTGGCCCCCTCCTCTAGGAACAGCTCCTTCTTCTTGTCCTAGGGGGAGGGAGTCTAGGGGTTGTAATGGCTTTCTGAAGTGTGAGTCCCCTGGGCCCCATTCCTGGTAGGTTCCCTTAACCCTGCGCACACCTCTGTAAAGAATCCTTTAGTTGAAGGCTCTTCAGTATCCCTTTGGGTGTATCGTCTGTTTCTTGTTGAGACATCGATTGACACAGGAACAGATGGCATGGTCCTTCCCTACAGTCCCTTTGCACTGACCACTCCTGACTCCCAGTCGAAGCAAAGAAGATGATTTCCTGGACAGCCCACCTTCCAAGGGTGCCTGGGGTGTGTGCCAAGGCCCCACTGCCCTCTGGTGGTCAGCTCCTGGAAATGCACCTCAGGGATCCAACCTCCACTGAACTGAGCCCATTGGGCACCCTGCACAGTGCTGAACCTTACACACCTGAGCACTTTCATCCACGTTACTGTCCCCACTTTACAGGTACCAGAACCTTCCCACTGCCCTTATGTATAAATCAAAATCTAGCCAAGGATTACAAGGTCCCATCTTTGCCTCCCTTCCTGTCACTCTCTGACCCAGCCAAACCGGTCGTTTCTCAGATCCTAAGGTCTTCGCATGTGCAGCTCCCAATTAGAATATTCAGGAACTCTCTGAAACCTTCATCACCTGATCAATCTCAGCTTATTCTCTAGCCCTTTCCTAAGATCACTCAGGATAGTCCTCCTTGCCACTCCCGACCCCCTTTCACTCGCTGTCATTCACAAACACACTGGGTTTTTCGTGGTCTGCATGAACGTCTGCTGGATAGTGCTCTCTCCTCAGGAGGCCGGAGGCTCCGGAGGGCAGGGAGCATCTTGCTTTGCCCACTGCTGTTATCTCCAGGGCCTGGCACACAGCAATAACACCACCAGCTGCTGACACGGATTAGGCATTTCTCTGCGCTAGCCATTGAGCTAAGTCCTTCAGGCGCCCAGGCCAGGCCACCCTCCTTCCCAAAGTCCTGGTCCCTAGGAAGCAGCCCTCAACTGTATAAAAACTCACACGTGTTTATTAGAATATGAAAAAGATTCGGTTTCTTCTGTACAGGCAGCAGAGCGGCAGCAGCTGTGGTGGCTTTGAACATGGTTGTCAATGTCACCCTTGCATGGGGACTCCTGCCCAAAACAGCACTTGCACGGAGAGGAGGGGGACAGATGAGCACCCACTGCCCAGTCCGCTGGGAAGAGGGGCACTCTGACTATTGCACAATCCTGGGGAAGGACAGACACCAATAGGCCTGGGCCTGGCCATGGTGGCAGTGGGGGTGGGAGTGTGTGCCTGTGAGCAAAGGCCCCTAAGGGCCCAGGACTCTGCCCACCACCAGCCCTGGTGGGGTGGGAGATGCTGGGGGAAGGCCTTCTCCCCCAAGGGCTGGGCTCCACAGCAAGCTGGGTGCGGTGCACATAAGAGGGGGAGTCTGGGGGCACGTAAGAGGTCCAGGGGCCTAGGGGGTGGGTGGGGGGAATGAGAGAAAGAACAGGTGAGCAGGGACTGAGGGTCAGGCCCAAGAGCAAAGGAGGTGCCAGGAGGCCCAGCATCAGTGAGTTAGAGAGAATCATGAATCGGGATGTGTGTGTGGTCACTTCTAAAATCACAGCCTTGGGGCCACAGTTAAGAGCCCAGGAGGCAGAGGACTGATCTGGGGGAGAGTGTTGGGCAGACAGGCACAAACGAGGAGGGGTAATGCTCTGGAGTAGGAGGGCCAGAGCTCTGTTCAATCAGGGGTGTTCAAAATGTTTTAAAAACAGGAATGCCCTCTGTGCAAACTGAATCATACACGGAGTGTGAACAGACAAAACAGATAAAAAGGCAGCACTTTCTGGATCCCCTGACAGTTCCTCCCCTGACAGTAGCCCCTGAAGGGTCTGGTGGTCCCTGGGGAAGCAGTCTGGAAAGCTAAGTCACATCACTGTCCAAAGTGCCCCAGCTCCAGTCAGGGAAGCTCAGATATGCCCTCGGCCTGCAGCTCTGAGTGAAGACAGGTCAGGGTGGCTGGCCAGGTGACAGAGCCAGCAGGAGGAGGGTGGGCCTGCCGTGTGTCACTGATTCGTACCCCAGTCAGATACCTGGTCCCCTAGTCTTCCCACTGTTAATGCAGGGCCCAGCCTAGGCCAAGAAAGGTCTCGGCTCCTTCCCTTTCCAGGTGGGACCAAGACTGAGCCAGAGGCTCTTTGGTTAGGAACTAAGATTGGTTTGAATGAGAAGGGCGATGGAGTAGGAGGCAGGCCTCTGAGGGCTGGGAATCCCAGAGGCCCTGGGCCAGGTTTGGGAGACAGCCTGGATCAGGAAGGGGCAGAATCTGCCTCCCAGCCCAACAGTTCTGCCAAATGGATTGGGAAGGCAGTTCTGGTGGGAGGGAGGGCGCTTCCCAGGAGGCAGGGGAAGCCGTGCTGCGGTTGGGGCTGTGGGCCCAGCTGCCATGCGGTCAAGGGAGGGGCAGGGCCAATCCAGGTCAGGAAGGACGAGGGGAGTCCCCAGCTCCCCCAGCAGCCCCTGTTCTGGTGGGAGAGTCTGTGGTGGGATGGGCACTGCCCACTGACTCCAGCGCTACTGCCCCTTGGGGATGAAAGGCTCTCCCTCCCCAGGCTCAGGGTGAGGACCTGGGTCACTAAGGCAGCGCTGTATCCTCTGGGAGCTGGGGCTGTCACTTGGTCCAGGGGTGAAGACATCATCGGTGCCTGGGGATGAGGGCTCCTTGGTCCGCATCACAATGCCCCCATCGTCCTCCTCGTCCTCCTCCACCACCCTCGCTGGATCCCGGTTCAGCCCCAAGACCTTGCCCTTCAGCTCCTCGTTCACCAGGTCCACAGACTCGGGAGACTGCGGGGAGGCTGGGTCGATGGTGATAACAGGCAAATCGGCCTTCGGCTCATAGGCCAGGGGGTCTGGGGACCAAGAGCAAGGCACACGTTGGCTTCTGCCCTGAGTCTGGCCTGGTGTGTGCTCCACCTTGATGTGGGTCAGCAACCCCCCCCAGAACCTTCCTAGGAGCATGGCAATGCTGCCACGTTTCAGGATTACTCCACATGGCTCCATATGAGCCCTTATCAGATGGTTTCTCTTCCCTTCAGGCTGGGGCTCCAAAGGTAAGACTGTGCTCCTCTCCTTAGACCAGGGACTCCCACAGGTGACCCTCCTCAGACCAAGGATTAGGGCCCCTTCCTGAGTCACCACCTGCCCCTGGGGCCCAGGCCTGGGAGAAGGTCCGCTGCCATTTCCCTCACATGTTGGGATATCCTAATGGTGCAGACCCTTCTTGCCTCACCGCCAGGCACCAAACCCCTCCACGGTCCTCACCGTGAGCCCCACATGAAGCACCTCTGTCCCTAGGGAGGACAGCAGGGCCATTCTTCTGCCCCCTTGGGGGATCCCCAACTCCATCTGATGTAGAAGGAGCTCATGGCTTGGGAGGAGGTCAGAGGGAGTAGCCTGTCCTCCCCAGCGGTTCTCTGAGCCCCATTCCTGTCAGAGCCTCATCTTCAGGAGACACTGGCAATGAGTGCCCCACCTCAAGGCCCCTCGTCAGGCACCCTGCACTCTGCCTTACCTGAGCCGATGCGGGCCCTCGACATGGTGGGTGAGTCCAGCTTGTGGGCCGGCACCGTCAGGTAGTTGTTGATCTGACAGAGAGAGGGCAGACAGGGGTGAGTGCGGGCAGCCCCTCTGGATGGCGCCTGAGGCCGATGGCCACACCCTCCTTTGTCGAGCTGGTGCCCGGGTGCTCGCTCCCTCTTTGGCAGTTCCTCACTAGGCTCTTCACTTGCCTCTGCCAGCGCTGAGGCCGTGCTGGCACTTTAGGGGTTCCTGAAGGCTTGGCCCAGCCTGTGGTCAGGCCACGCAATCTCCTGAGCAGCCTTAAACTGCCCTGCCTCTCACACAGTGACACTGCCCTGGTCTCTATCTACTCCAGTCCACACTCGCCCCTGAGGTCCATAAAGTCAGTTCAGGAGAACTGGACCCCAAATGGCCCTCAGGTATCTCAGTGCAATAGTCTAAACTGAACTCAGGTTCTTATCTTCCCTTAAGCCCTTGTTCTATCCTAGGGACACCTGGGTGGCTCAGTCGGCTCAGTCTTGATTTCAGCTCAAGTCCTGATCTCTTTCATATATTTTTTTAATGTCTATTTATTCATTTTTGAGAGAGAGGGAGAGCACAAGAGGGGGAGGGGCAGAGAGAGAGAGAGAGAGAGAGAGAGAGAGAGAGAAGGGTGGAGGTGGGAGACACAGAATCTGAAGCAGGATCCAGGCTCTGAGCTGTCAGCCCAGAGCCTAATGTGGGGCTTGAACCCATGAACCGCAAGATCATGACCTGAGCTGGAATCGGACGCTTGACCAACCGAGCCACCCAGCTGCCCGTCTCTCATACTTTCAAGCCCTGTGTTGGGCTCTGCTCTGACAGTGTGGAGGCTGCTTGGGATTCTCTCTCTCTCTCTCTCTCTCTCTGCCCCTTCCCTGCTCACATGTGTGCATGCAATCTCTCTCTCTCAAAATAAATAAATAAACGTTAAAAAAAAAAAAAGAAAATGAGGGGTTAGAGCACATGGATAGACTCAGATGTCTGAGGATACGATGAGACAGCAATGGCCTCTTTGCTGCTCTGAGAGGGAAGGAAGTGGAAGAAGAGGCAGCTTTCTGGAACCTGCCCTGGGGCTCAGCCTTCAATACAAGTGGAGGAGGCCCCCCCCCAAAAAACCCCCAAAAAACCAGATTGCAGAGGCTCTCTCTTCAAAGGGGCTTGGTGGTGGGGGTGTGGGAAGAACCCAGACTCCCGGAAAAGCGGGAGCCAGCTCCAGTCCTAGACGCACCTTCTGCTCTAGTTGCCGGGCCTTCTGTCTGCGCAGCAGCATCTGGTTCCAGGCCTCCTCATAGGGATCTGCCACCAGTGTGTGTCTGTTGTAGGACCGCAGCTGTGGGAGGAACAGCCGTCAGGCACTAGAAGCTGGGCCTGGAGGAGCCAGGGGGGGTCTGGGCACGTGTGGGGCAGGGCTGGAGCAGAGAGACTCCTCTGCTGTAAGGGCACCAGGCGGGGAGCAGCCCCTCACCCGCTGCCTGGTCTTCTGCAAGTTGTTCCTCAGGATTTTGCGAATCTCCTCCTCCTTGTCCTTGGACAGAGCTGGCAGGATGCGCTCGGCAGGCAGGGACTTGGGGTGGATGTTCCTGGACAACAGGGCACAGGTTAGGTCCCCGGGAGAACTCCTGTGACCCTGGAGTGCAGGGTCCGGGCCAGGAGGTCACCCAGGGGATGGCCTGGGGGTGGGGGTGGTCCTCACTGTGGCCCTGAAGCCCTCTCACCCACCCTGCTTGGACAACAGAGGGGCCTGCCCCCCACCCCCCCGGCGGCCTGCCAGGTTGGTGTGCGTGCAGAAGCTGCCAACATCGGCCATGGGCACTCACTGCATGGAGACAGTGGAGACAGCAGAAGGGATCTTGCCCATGCCACCGCTCTCCACCAGCTCAATGGCCTGCTTCATCTCCATCTTGTGGTAGAAGGCGATGAGCTGTGGCTCCTTGGAGCGCTCCCCGGCTATCAGACACTTCTTCACATACTTCTTGTTAAACCGGTTGAGCCTGGCGGGAGGGGGGAGGAGGGAGGAGATGCGTGGAGCCAGTTCCTCAGGGTGGGATGACACCCGGGGGGGGCCCGGGGAGACCCTCACCTGCCCCTCCCCGCCCACCAGGCCTGCCACCTACTTGTCCTTCCAGTGGTGGTGGCCGTAGTGGCCACAGATGTCCTCGATGCCTGTCAGAAGGTGGTCCAGGAACTGAAATGGGCCCAGGGCCAGGTCAAGCCTCACTACTGGGCTCCTTCCCTACGGAGACTTCTGAATGGCCCCCCCCACCCCCACCTTCCACTCTAGTGTAGCTCTGCTCAGCCCAGCCCTGTAGTTCCAGGAGCAGCCAGGAGGTGGCACCAACACCTCACTCATCCTGAACCCATGGCACCTCAAACCCTCTGCCTCTGGGGCCTGGCTGAGCCCCCTTCCCTGAACCTACCTGTGCCCAATGCCTGCAATAGGTTCCCAGTAGAGGTAGAGATAGCATGACCCCCCCCCCTCCTGGCACTCCTGGCTGCCCACACCACATCTGCCTATGGCACAATATGGTGACCTCAAGGGGCTGAAGGATGACCCAACACTGGGATGAGGGAGGAAGGAGCTGAGTGAGGCAACGGACATGAGGCCTGGCTGCTCCCCAGCTCCCTGAGCCTTTTGCAACCGAGCACCAAGGCCCAGCTTCCAGTACCTGTGTGTGGATTTCCTCGTTGATAGAACGCTTTGTCTCTTGCTTTTTCTTCACAGCCAACAGGTCTACCAGGGGCCGAATGGTCATGCCCTGGGGGGTAGGTAGGTGTCAGGCACTCCAGTTCTGCTACCCTGGCAGGGAGGCCCAACCTCCCCTGCCCCCACCTGCAGAGCTCCTGAGGCTGGTATGCCCTCTGCTCTGAAGTCCCCAATCTCCCAACCTCCGTGCCAGCCATCGTATAAAGGCAGGTCCTTAAGGGCTGCTTCTTCCTGAAGACACGAGCCCATCCAGGGGAATGACTCCCTTAGCCGGGGCGAGGGGTCGGAGGGCCTGGGTTCAAATGTGGGCTCCGCCACAGACATACTTTGCAACCCCAGAGAAGTCAGGCCTGGCTGATAGGGAAAACTACTTCTGCTCTGCCTCCCTCACAGGACTGCCACCGATAACCTAGTAAGAGTGACAGCAAATTTAACTGCATGTTTGCCAGGTGCCAGAGCCAGCTGTGATCTACTAGTATTAGTTCGTGAATACCCACAATGACCCTAAGAGGTAGATCTTTCCATTGTCCCCATTTTACAGACGAGGAAACTGACATAGAGGGTAAGTAACTTTCTAAGGTCTCACAGGAGTAGTAAAGCTGGATTCAGACCCAAGCAGGAAGGCCCTCCCTCAATGCTGACTTCATTGAAAATGGGCTTGGTAAACCATTACCATATACAACTGCAAAGTTAAGGTCATAAAATATTTTTGAAGATGGAAACAGGGCAAGCGGGTGAAGGAGGCAGCCCCCTATCCTTATTAAGGACAGAAGGTAAGTCTAGCCCCAGGAGGATGCCACCATATCTTTTTCTTTTGAGAAGGCAACGCTGTTTCCCAGCTAAGGCTTTGCCACGATTTATATCTAGGAAAGACAGAGGGGATAGAAATGGAGGCCTAGACAGACCATTTCTCACTTGCCCAAAGTCACAGGTCAGGTAAGGTGGAGCAAATTTCCGCCATCCAGGCTGGGTTTCCTTGGGGATTCTGAGGGGTTTGGGGGGACTCTCAGCTAAGCCAGGTTCATTTAAATGCACAGAAAATACTGACCAGCAAGGCTGGAAGGACTCTGGGATCATCTAAGCTGATGCCCTCACTTCACAGATGGGGAAGTGAACCCAGAAAAGGGAGGAGGGTCTTTCCCAGGGTCACACAGGGGCAGCACAGCTCGGGCTGACTCCAGACCTCCTGCTGCCCAACTCAACAACCTTTCTAGCTCCCCCCGTTGTGCTATGATTATCCCATTTTACAGGCGCAGAAACTGAGATCCTAGGACATTAAATCACTTCCCCAAAGCCCTGTAAAGAGCCTGTGGGCCTGCTGACTGCACCCACTTCTCTCAATGCTGTCTGGATCTCTAACTAAGTTAGGCAGCATTCTGGCTGCTCTACTTTCTGATCAGTTGCTCACTATCATAATTCCCCCTTCACAATTAAGGAAAATGAGGCCCAGAAAGGGGGAGTGGCTTGCCCAAGATTGCACAGCAAGTTATCAGTGAACTAGAACCCGTGGCCCCCTCTCACTGGCAGACCCAGGGTCCCCAGGCAGGGCTGCTCCACCCTGTCCAGCACCTGCACAAAGACGGTGAAGAAGATGACAGTGATGATGGCAGTGAGGAACAGGTCACACATGGGGAAGTGCTTCTTGTCCAGGAGGTAGCCCAAGGAGAAGGCGATGGCCCCTCGCAGGCCTCCGTAGGCAATGATGAACTGGTCCTTGGGGGTCAGCTTCACAATTCGGAACTTGTTGATGAACCAGGTCAGGCCCAGCACACCTGCCAGGGAAGGGCAGGAAGAGTGTCAAACTGTCCCCAGTCCCTCCCGGCTTCCCCGCAACCGCTCTGTCTGGAGGAAGCCTCCGCGAGTACACCCACCCAGCGCGCTCATTTCCTGGGTCCCTCGGCCAACGGCTGGGTGGATCCCTCAGAGGGTTTCCCAACCTGGATGTGCTTTAGAGATATCACAAGGCCTCCGGTGGCTGGATGTCAGAAGCGGGGTGGGAGAAGAGCTGAAACAAGGCTGGCCACATGTTGGTATCTATTAATTATAATGGGTTCATGGGCTCAAATTTTCTGTGTGCTTCAAATTTTCCATAATAAAAAAGTTTTCTTAATTTCTTTTTTTTTTTAATGCTTCTTTATTTTTGAGAGAGAGAGACGGAGTGCAAGTGGGGGAGGGGCAGAGAGAGGGAGACACAGAATCTGAAGCAGGCTCCAGCTGTACTGACAGCTCAGAGCCCAATGCCGGGCTCGAACTCAAGAACTGCGAGATCACGCATGACCTGAACCAAAGGTGGACGCTCAACCGACTGAGCCACCCAGGCGCCCCTAAAACATTGTGGGTATTTTGGGTTTTTTTGTTTTTTAAATGCAGAGACTTGGATGCAACCTCAAGCACAGAACCAGAATCTCTGGAGGATGAGGCCCTGGAAGAAAGGGGATTTAGAACAGTGCACCGAGTGGATGTGATACCCAGTCAGGCTTGGGGACCAAAGACCTAGTCTCAGAGGAGAGGTGAGTGAGACCCAGAGGGGGAAGTGATACAGTCTCTGAGGTGAGGCGTGTCTGGAAAGTATAAGCAGGACCCAAGGACTGGAGGCCTGGTCCCTGGGTGTGGCCCTGGGCTGGCGGCGCGGCCAGGTTTGGAGGAGCTGTCCTCAGCTTTCCAAGGGCTTGAGTCATCGGCGCCACAGGACCACGCAGAAAACATTCACAAACCCAAGCTCTGTGGCACAGGCTCCCCGAGGCCCCTCTGTGCACTCACACACAACCGTCTTCCCAGAGGTCACAGACTCACCGTGAGCATGGGCTCCTCTCGAGGACCCATCGTGGTCTCAGCATGGCAGAGAGGGGCAGGGGAGCACCTGCTGCACAGCCAAGCAGGGGCTCTCCACACAGGGCACCCTTCCTTCCCCCCCAGCCGACCCCCTGCCCCCACCGCGCACGCTCGCACACACACCTCCACCCGGCTCCAGCCCAGGACCTCACCCAGCACTCGGGCGATGAGGCAGAAGAGCAGGGTGCTGATGACAAAGGTCCAGTTCCAGTGGTGGGAGCCAGCCACCGTGGAGACGCCAAGGAAGATAAAGATGAGGGTCTCACTGACACTGCTCCACATCTTCAGGAAATATTTGATGGTCGTGTGGGACTTGTGGGAGATGTTGGCCTCCACGTAGGGGCGCATCACCACTCCCGAGGCAATGAGTCTGGGGTCAGAAAAGAGCAGAGTTTGGGGTTCAGGCGAGCTGCACCTTCCCAAAGCCCTTCCACTGCCAGGGAGGCTGAGCGATACCCATTTACTGAGCTCCTCTGACGGGTCAGGCACTCACGGTGGGCTTCACGCGACTTTTCCAGCTCAATCCTCTCACTCAACCCTCAGACACCGTCATGTTTTTGCATTTTTCAGTTGAGGGACCTGAGAGTTAAGAGACACTTCACCCTTCCACTGTTACCCAGCCAGTGTGTGGCAGAGCTAAGATGCAAACCGAGGTCTGCCCGACTCCCAGGCCTGTGCCTCCTCCCCAAGGCCGTGCTGCCTCTCTGCCTAACAGGAGTCAATTACACATGTCTGTGGCCTTGGTTTATTACCCTGGAGTGCGGTGTCTCACAGATGGGGGTCTCCACAGTAGCTGCCCAAGCTCTCCTGGCCTGGGGTCCATACCTGAGCTCTGCTCCTGCTGGCCTGGCCTCCTCAAGGTTACCCTGAATCCTGTGATCCAACCCGGCCTCTCCACTTCCAATGTCCTGCTCTACCGGGCACACCTCACTGCTTCTCCACCTTACCCTGACTGCAAGGCCCAGCTGAGGCCTCAGGACCTCTATGACTCCTCACAGCAATGGAGGCCCCAAGCCTTCTCGCTAGGGCTACAGAAGGGCACAGTGAATGCAGGAACCTGTGTCTAGCTACAACCAAGGAACCCCCCTGGAGGCCAATGAAGGGAAGAAGTAGCAGGGCTGACGCTTTCCAAAACTTTAAACTCAGTGCTTCCCAGGGCAGTCCCAGGACCTGGAGCCTGGTGCATGAATCTTATCCCTGGAGCTGGAGGCTGGGCACTGGGGAGCTCCCTTGTGTTGGCAGGCCGCCCCCCTCCCCCCCCCGCCATGCCATGCCCAGACTCACGCCATGATACCCGACAGGTGGAAGAGCTCGGCTGATAGGTAGGCCATGTAGCTGTAGAGGAAGACGAAGAGCGGCTCGATGACACGGATGTGGGAGGTGAATCGGGACGTGAAGGCTGCGATGACCCCGTAGACCACACCCACAAACACCCCGCCCAGGGACACCACGAAGAAGCTCAGGAAGCCAAGGACGATGTCCACGATGCCCACTCGGTCGTAGTTTGCAAACTCCTCAAAGAGATGATACAGGACCTGGGGAGGACGTGCAGGCTGGTTGGCAGGAGGGCAGGGCCCTGGCCCTCCAGCTCTCTGGGGTCCACCCAAGGGTGATCATGTGCCTTCCACTGACCACGGCCACAAGAAGAGGCCATGTGATAGTGGAGACACGCTAGTGCCAAGCAGGTGGTCCAAACCACTGGGCCAGGGGCCCGAGGGCCTCGCTTCCGGCAGGCAGCATGCCGTGCTGATCAAGAGCACAAACTCTGAACCCAAACTGTCTGGGTTGAACAGTGGCTCTGCCGTGCCCTAGCTGTGTGCATGGGGCAGATTACTGTCTCCCTGTGCTGCAATCTTCCTAGCCATAAAATGGGATTACAGTACCGACCTTACAGGACTATTGTGAGGACTAAACTAGTTAATAAAGGCAAAGTGCCCAGGACCATGCCTATCACAGTGTTAGCTATTCCTGGCACTAAAGGGCCTCTCTCACTGTCTGACCTTGGGCAGGTCATGTCCCTGTCTGGATTTCAGTCTCTTCTTCAGCATAAATCAGGGAGAATTCAGACCATGAACTAGAACAGGACTTCTTAACCTGTGAAAATTTCTGAAAATATACACAGGCAGGCCATACCCGCCTTGGATTCTCTGGAGGTGGGGCCCAGAAATCTCTACTCAACAAGCTCTTCAGGGGGTTACCGTGAACGGCCAAATTCAGATACTATGGAACTAGAGGCTTTCTAAGGCTTCCCCACCTCCTGGACTGGGAAAGAAACAGTCACTGTAATGCTATCGTCAGATGTTTAAATGGGACTTCATATATTGTAAAGCCCTTGGACAACGGTCACCCTGCTTGACACACAGCAGCCCCATGAGGTAAGCGAGCCAAGGATGCCCACTCCTTTGCTCAACTGAAGCCCACAGTGGTGGAGCGACTTGACACAGGGCCCCCAGACCCCATCAGCAAAGCCAGGCCCAGAACTTGCTCCCTGACAGCAGTGGGCAGGCCCTCCCCAGCAGGTACAGCTCTGAAGATCCACCCCCACTCAGGTGCCAGCTCCCTGGCTACCAGGCCTTCTCCTAGACAGCTGTGCCAGGAAACCAGCTGGAGTTTCCAGGCCTGGGGTGCTGAGGGAGAGAGAAAAGGACCTGAGCGTTACTGAAAGGGGACTCTCCAAAGCCCCCAGTACCTAGAGACAAGGAGGCCTGGGTAGGAGTGGTGACCTGTTCCAGGGCAAAAGCCTGAGACCATGGGACTCAGGGGGAGCCTTCAGCTTTAATGTCGGGAACAGGGCACTCACGTTTGTGGCCAGAGCTCCAGAAAGGGTCTGACTTGGGGCAGACGGAAGGGGAGATGCCGAGCACTGGCCAGTCTGCAGTGCTGCCTGGACCATAGCTGTCTGGGAGACAGGCAGGGCTCCCGCAGTGGACAGCAGGTGCATTCTTAGCCCTCGGCTACCTAAACTCACTCCTGGCCTGAGGAGGTTCATGGGTCCTCACAGTGCACTACCTGGGCCAGTGGGGCAGGTGAAGGGCGAGGTCCTCCTCTCCCACCCGGCTATAGACTAGAGAGGCAGTGTAGCATAGTGGTAAGTGTGTGGGCTCAGGGCTCCGACTGTGTAGATCTGAACCCCAGCTACCTCATTTATCAGCTAACATGACCCTGGATGAGCTCCTTAACCTCTCAGTATCTCAGTTTCCTCACTTGGAAAAACGGGATAGTTACAGTGCCAACCTCCCGGAGTTTCTGTGTGGATCAGATGAGGCAAATACATATTCAGGCAGGAAGTGCTCACATAGGAAGTGAGCTCACTACCAGCACTGCCACCACCTTGGGAGGCATGGCCAGATGCCCAAGTTGACCAGACTGCGGTATCCACTTGACATAAGCAGGCCCCACTGCTCCCCGATAGTGCCAACCTGAACCCCAACACCCAGACCCAACTGGGGAGGGCTTTGACTTTGGTACTTGCTGGTAAGTGTGCCTCCTGTAAGAACCCTGGGAGGATGACAGGCTGGGTACTGCAATCCTTGTTACAGATGGAGAAACTGAGGCAAGAGCTGGTGCCAGAAGACCCAGCACTGAGGCCTGCCTGCTTAGACCAGACTGCTGCTCCCCCAGCCCCACAAGGACCCGATGAAGGCAGCAGGGGAGGAAGAGGAAGCTGAGGCTGCCGGCCCCACCCCCCCCCACCCCCCCCCCCCACTGCTGTCTGTCTCTTCTTTGAAGTGCGGCTTCCTGAGGGGCTGGGGTGGGTGAAGAGGGAGCGTGTGTGTGAGCATGCACTGGCGTGCAGGTGTCCTTGTGTTTTCCTGTGTGTGCAGTGCTCTCTGAGGGGGCCAGCTAGGAGAATGGGAGTGTTTTCACAATGTGTGAGTGTGCACATACACATACCTGTTTCCTGAGGAAACCAGCTGGGAGGAAGGGCATGTGTGAGCACATACAGCACAGCCATGTGCCAGACTCTGTGTTGGGGCTGTCTGTTCTTACTAGATCCTGGGAGGAAAGCAGTATCTGCTCTGCCACTTTGCAGCTATCAAAGGTGAGGCCCAGAGAGATATGGTGATTTGCCTAAGGTCAGGTAATAAGCAAGTGGCCAACCCCAATCTATTTTACTTATCACCTTCTGGAGGGTTCTTTTTTTTTTTTTTTTTTTTGATAAATTTTATTTTTTACGTTTTTAAAGTAGGCTCCACGCCCAATGTGGGACTTGAACTCGTGACCCTGAAATGAAGAGTTGCATGCTCCACTAACTGAGCCAGCCAGGTGCCCTTTCTGGAGGTTTTGAGGGCAGGGTCCCTTTCCACCACTGCTGCCCCCAAACTGCACACACCTAACTATAACTTAAGACCCAGCCAACATAAAGCTGAAATGGCCCTCATAGACTAAATGGCCTATAAAGGACAAACTGAAGTCTAAAGAGGATATGTAATTTAACCAAGATCACATCACGATCTGAGTCAGGGACAGAGAATATGCCCCGGGAAGGCCAAGAGCTCAGGTCCGGACGTCTGACAGACTTGACTTCTAACCTTGGTTCTATCATATGTTAGCCAGTTGTTTAACTTCAGCGAGCCTGATGCTTCTTCGTTTGTAAAGTAAGAAGCACCTCCGAAGATCATCATCAGGATTAAATGAGATAATCCACACTGAGTGCTCAGAGTGATGCCTGGCACAGAGTAAGCAGGAATGGACATTAGCTGTTTGGCTACTGTGATTAGCGGGTGGATGTGGGATTCACTCTGGACCTGGATTCAGGTCTGTGCCCAATGTGCACGTGTGTGTGGCCACTGTCCCTCACCACAGTGACGGCGTCATTGAGCAGGGACTCCCCAAAGACAAGGATATGCAGCAGCTCATTGATGTGAATTTCCTCAAAGACGGCCAGCACGGCCACGGGGTCCACGGCTGAGATGATGCTGCCAAAGAGCAGGTTGTCCAGAAGGCCAATGTTGTTGATCTGCTCGCCGCCCACCAGGCACACGGCGTACATGAGGCCGCCCAGGAAGAAGGCATTCCACAGTGTGCCCACCACGGCGAAGATCAGGATGGTGCCCAGGTTCTCTGTGAACTGCCGCAGCGGCAGGAAGTAGCCCGCGTCCAGGATGATGGGCGGCAGCAGGAAGAGGAAGAAGACGTCGGATTGCAGGAAGGGGGGCGTCTCGCCCACGCCCTTGATCAGGCCCCCCACCAGCAGCCCCACCACGATCAGCAGGCAGCTCTCCGGGACGATGCTCGAGATAGTGGGGATCACATGGAAACCTGCGGAGGGTGAGAGAACAGGAGGCCATGGTCTTGCGGCGAGCCAGGACGGAAGGTTGGGGACAGGGCTGGGGACAGAGGAGCAGCTGGTGAGAGGGGCACAGGCTTGGTCTCGGAGGGCCGCTCTGTTAACTCTCTGAGCCTTGGCTTCATCATCCGTAAAATGGAAGCAGTAATACCAGCTTCACCGGGTTTGCCGTATAAACTAATTGACAATGTTTTTAAAGTGTTTTTTCCAACAGATATACAGATGCTATCTCTGCCTCTGTCATAAAATAGTGGAAAGAAGCAGCTCTGTATGCCTCCGGAAGACAGAAATCATACATTGATTACCGAGGCTCCAAGTATCTAAGGGCATTAGCTATACCTGAACCCAAGTCAGCTTTCTAGGTACAAGTTCAGGGTGGCAGATGTGAGCTCGAGACCAGGCACAACAATCTAATGATTCTGTCTGAGGGAAGGAAGTGAGTTCCCCATCACGAAGCTGTTTAAGCAGAAAGCAGACAACCAGTTGGTCAAGAAATAACACAGGAGATAGAAGGAAGCACAGAAGAATCAAAGAACATCAGCACAGAAAGGAACTTGGGGTCAAACCACCTGCCGTCTGCAAACCTACAGAATGTACACAGTGACCCCTAACTCCAGATTCGTGTGCTTTCCTGCTAAGCCCAGAGAGCTGCTCAAGAAGCCAATGGTGATCAGTCCATTTTGCATGTGAGACAAAACCTATATGCCATCCTGTTTTCTAGCCTAATCCCATCCACTTTAAAGATAGAGCAACCGAGGCCCAGAAAGGGGAAGGGCATGAGGGCACACTTGCATGAGGGCACACGGCAAATCAGTAGCAGAACCAGGACAGAACCCAGGTCTGACCCCCGTAGCTCCCATCAAACTCCTAAGTTCTAGAAGTCAATCCTCACTCTCCCTCCTCCTCATCAAGGCATGAACATGCCCCTCCGCCCGATACCCTCTCCCCAAGCTAGCAGCAGTGGTCCACACTGAGGCTCCAAACCCAGAGCTAGGAAGTAGCAAAAATGCCCTTCTGAGAGGTGCTCCTTCAATGCCACGTTTGGTCCCAAGCTCCCTAAGGGTTTGGGGTTTATTTTTGGGTGGGGAGGTGGGTGGAGAAGACCCAGGCATTTAACCCCATGTTGAGTGCCATAAAACCCACGGTAAGCTTGGTTAAGAGAGTATGACGGTTTGTTTAAGGTGAAAGTTCTTGCTCCCATCCCCTCCCTAGCCTGTAATCTGTGCAGGCAGATTCCCTATCCATTTATAATGAGATCCCCAGGGCTAGGGACATAGTAGGAACTCAACAAGTATCTACTGATTTGAAAATGCACAGGGCTAGGCCATTACTGACATAATTCCTGACAACCCATCTGGCCAAGCTTTGGCTCTCATTACCCCTGAGATCTGTGGGAAGGAGAAGAAACATCCCTCCTCATGCCCAAAGCCCCTTCTACTCTCCAATACCGATCTGGGTAGTGCCAGTACAGCTACAAGTCAAGACTCACCCTCAAAACACTAGCTAGGCCCAGAACGTTGGTACAGTGCCAAGCACCCAGGAGACACTCAAAACATGTTAGAAAAAAACACGTCTCCATTGTAGGCGAGGAGAGAACCCCAAAGCCACCAGTACAATTCTCTTGACTTCAAAACAGACCTGACCAAACTCCCCTCTTGCTGAAAAATTCCCCAGTCTTTGTAGTGTCTAGGAGTAACCCCCGGTGTTCAGTTGGCTGGTGCAATGGAAGGGGCATTTCGCCCAAATGAACCACATCCTCTCTTGTCTATAGATCTTTGCCTGGTCTAGTCTGTCCCTCCAGAACGCCATTCCTGTACCTCTATCCCCATGTGTGTGGCTGATGCCACATGCTTCTATCCTCCTGCTGCTCCAGGAAGCATTCCCTGACCATCCCTGTCTGTTCACATTAGGGCAGGAGTCCCTCTCCGGTGCCTCCCCTTCTCGAACCTTCAATCCACAGACCCTGCCCAGATTTCTCTCTCTCCCCCGGCACCCAGCAAGGTCAGACAACCTAGGCCGGAGCAGTGGAGACGGGACAATGGCACCACACCCAGAGACCTGCACTGCCCCGGAGGGGAGATAGGATGGCATGGGACTTTGGGGGAGCAGAGCTCCTGCCGGCCACCAGGAAGCTGCTCTTCAAGGCCAGGAGTCCAGCTCCAAGTCTAGCCAGCTGACCTTGACATCCTGCCCTGGAACTGAGCACCAACAGCTAGCTGCCTTAGGAGAAGGCATAGTCTAAAGAGACAGCCCAGGCAAGCAGGCGACAGCCTCCACCTCCATCTAGCACATTAGGCTTTGAAAATTCCTCCCTGCCCCCCCCCCCCCCCCCCAATGCTATCAGTCCAATCCACAAAGCTTTCCTGGGACCGGGAAGTGCCACACCATGCATTGGAAACCCAGAGAAGAGTACCACATGGGAGGACGGGGTAGGGGGACATGCAAAACAAGCCAAGAGCAGTAACGTGAAGAATGTTCATTGTTCCTAAAGATGCACTGTGAGCCAGGCACTGTGCTGGGAGCCTGGCATATAGCGTCTCTTTAGTCCTCACAACAGCCCCGTGGGATAAGTATTGTCCCCATTTTGCAGAAGAGAAAGGTGGGGCCTGGCAAGCAAGATTCGGTAGCTTCCCCAGAGTCTAAGGGAAGAATTCTACTCTAGCTTAGAATCTGTAGCAGAGAGAGCTAATTAATCTTGTACTGAAACATGGGTATTTTCTCTGAGCCCAGGCTGGTGCTGTGCACTGGGGACACTGAGGTTACTCAAAGTCAGAACCTTCATGAAGAGCTTGTGGGAATGGCCATGCTTTACTCACTCTTGGGACTTCTAGGCCATCAGGCCTCCCTTGCTAGGCTAGGAGACAACTGGCACTCCTATTTGATGGAAGAAAAGCTAGAGCTCAGAGGAGGCAGGACAGGTCCCAGCTACCCAGGATCACTAGGTCTCAGGCCTCCTGACTTGGGTGCAATGCACTTTCTTCCACATAAGCTTGCTCCCAGAGTACCTGGGACTGGAGCCATGTTCCCAGAGTGAGTCTTCCCGGGTCTTCCTGTGCTGGCCTTGCCTCTTGGTGAGCAGACCCTGATGGGCAAGGACAGGGAAGGGCCAAGCCCAGACTGAAGAGGAAGGTCTGGGATCCACACTTGGCTCCTTACCCCTGGTAGGCGGTACATTACTGGAAAGCAGTTTCCAGTGGGGAGGGCACAGTGGTACGGTGTGGGGAGGGGCATGAAGGCCTGTTCTGGCTTGTCCCTCTCCCAAGGCCCTGACTCTACCAGCTGTCCCCACCCTGTAGCCCTAGAGATCTCCTCAAGGTGCGGGAAGTTTGCTGACACCACGTGTGGTAAAAGGGGAATAGTCAGGCCCCAATCCCCTGACAAAGGCCCAGCACTGAGGGGAGATCCCAAGATGCCAGGAAATGAGGCTGGACTTCCAGGACCCAAACTTTGTGGCAGCAGTGATATCACCAGGATGGAATCTGGGGTGGGGCAGAGGCGGCTGGAATCAGATCCAGAGCCAGGAGAGTGGAACAGACCCTGGAGACCATCCAAACCCTCTGCCACATGGTCAGGGAAACTGAGACTCAAAGACAGCCAGTGACCTGTCAGTGTCACGTGACCATTCCACGGTGAGAAGCCAGGAAGCTCCAGGCCCAGTGATCTCTCAAACCACGTGGCCTCCCATGAGGGTGTGGAAATTCCACATCCCTGGGCCACAGGGCAAACCCACGGACATAGTTCTGACCATGGGAGGGGAGAGATGTTTCCCACTCTGCCCGGTGTAGGTGGCAGATGGGCAACTGCGGGGACTGGGGGACACACACACTCACCCACACTCTTGCTCTCCTACACTCTTACAAACTCCCTCTTACACACTCACCTGCAGTCTCTCACACTCACCCACAAGCTCTTGCACTCTTACACACTCCCTTTTACACATACTCATCCTCACTCGAGCTCTTATACACACTCCTCACACTCACTCCTTCTTACACATACCCCCTTACTCTCACCCACGCTCTCTTACACACATATCCACACTCCCTTACAGCTCTCACACACATTTACTCCCTCTTACACACTCACCCACACTCTAACTCTCTCTCATAACACACTCTTACACACATTCACACGCTCTAGTTCTCTCTCATACACACACACACACGCACACTGAGCAGACACTGACCGAACTCCAAAGTGGTGAGGGGCTCCCGGTGCCTCTGCAACCTCCCCGCTCTCCACCACGAGAACATTTGATTTACATCTCCTGGGACGGTCCCCATCTGCTGAGACCGGTGCAGTGGAGCAGCAGGCAACGCTGTTGTACGTCACCCTCGGTTGCCAGGGTGACCGGACACCCCTGATCCCTCTTCCCGCATCTCGCTCCTGGCCTGGCCAGTCAGAGGGGAGTGCCGGGAAGAGGGGCCTCATTGGGCCACCAGTGCTGGTCACCAGGGACCCAGGGGTGTGCAAGGGGCTCTGCCGCCCTAGTTCCGGGCCCGAGGCCTGCTCTGGGGCTGCAACTCGGCCAGCTCCCGAGGGATTCCTGGTTGCACACGACTCCGTTTCTCTAACTCCCTCTTCAACTGCCCCAGCAACCAGTCTCAACTCCCGTCCTGAAAGGTAATACCTCCCAACGAAAGCCTGGCACTCTACAGTTTACAGCGGTGTGCTTTCATACTTTCCATCTCGTTTGCACCTCACCACAGCTCCGGGAGGTCACAATGGCCATCCCCTCATTTTACAGATGAGGAGACCGAGGCACAGAAAGGTTAAGCAACTTGCTCAAAGTCAAGTAGCTGATAACTGACTCGAACCCAGGCAGCGTGGCTCCAGGGTTTGTGTTCTTAGCCACTCAACACATTATCTCTGGTTTTGTTCTTATTTTGTTTCTAAGGGGAGCATCAGCACCCAGGCCCAAAGAGGCCCGAAGTGGCCCTGAGAAGGCCAGAGACGGTATTCTCTCCACGAG